CCCCTCCCCGCATGTCCAATCCCTCTACACACTCTGGACTATTGTTACCTAACACATCCCCCTTAGATGTCTGTAAAGAATTCCTGAGATTCCGATCAAACAACGACCAACATAAAGATGGGGGGTGCTCTCCATCCCCTCATCTTGCATCATACGTGTCTTTTCACAGAGAATACCATTTTGTCCCAGATTGAATGGCCCATATCCTGGTTTGAGCGCTATGAATTACCGACCCTAAACTTTCACCTGCTGTACACTCTGATCAATCTCATTTTCTCAAGTGCTAACATCTTTTGAAGACATGAGACATGTAAGCTTGGATTATGGTGGACTCTGAATTGTGATCAGACATTTATACATACAAACGGATAGATGCACTTACGGCAGGTGGCTCGGATCCAGTGCTGGCTAATTGATGGGATGAATCCCCACCGGTTGTCTTTAGTGGCACGTCATTGCTACGGCCTGCAGTCAAGCGGAGAAAAAAATCTGAGCTTTCAATTCAGGGAACTCGAATATATTCTTGTGACAAGATGATGCCTCTGTGAATTTTTTTCTCCAATGTGGCAGAGTTGTTTGCATGAACTACAAGTACTGATGACTTCTTTGGTCTGATTTATGTTGATATGATTAGAGGTTCATGTAAAATCAAATAACTACCTGTTTTGGATGAATGCTGACGTGATTTCTCAATATGTCATTAAGTAATGGCAATTTAATATGCAATTTGAGGGAGGTTATTTTTTCATCCAGTTTATCGAGATGAATAGATTTCAGAAATTTCTGTGAGATTTCAAATGTTTAAAATGCATCACAGAAATCTATCATGGGAAATCAACATTATCACTTTTCCTCAAATTCAAATCCTGAAAACAAGTTTTTTTTCAGATTATTTTTGTAAATTGAAATAATAAACAAACATTCACAAAAATGCTCAAAACAGTAATCAAATAAAAAAAACCAGTCAACATTGACTTCTTTCACTCACAATCACACGAAGAGTGCACAATTTAAGTGGAACACAGAAAGTTCTGGGAAGGCAGTGCACAACTACTGTACATGTACAACACGAAGAGATGTATGAGCATTCATGGGTTATCGAACGTATGGACATGTACATATGACAAACCTACCACAAGGTTTTGTGAACGACAAATACACATATCATAACTACAAAACAAATAAAATTCATGGGCAAACTTTTTACATCATGAGACAACAGGTCAAATGAAGCGGATTTACAAAAAAACCAGAAGCTGGTTCTATTTGTGAAAGAAAGAGATGGTAGAGTTGAAAATGGTTGTGATGTGGGATGTTTGAGGAACTTGATCTGTTAAGGTGTGTTGAGTGGAAAGATATATGAAAATTATCAGGTCTGGACACGTGTTTTGATCTAGGCTAATTTCTTTGACCAAATGGAATAGTTTTGAAGCATAAAACACGACATGAATTACAGGGTTCTTATGAACTAACCTTTCACGGGTTTAGACTAGCCCTGTTCAATACAAATAGTTAGGGCACATGCAATTTTGAAAAGGAATTGGGCACTGTTCACCAGACGAGTTTATTCAGCTGGCATGTTTTGGGGAGAAGGCAACATGCAAATAAAAAAGGTGTGACATCCGAGTACCTGGTTCGTCTGAATTGGGCTGAACATCAGGAGGATGGGACGGGGCTGGTTTTACAACTGAAATTTTTTATGAAACAACATTTAACCATGAAATTTGTTTTCTGGGATAAAATGGCTTAAATCTACACAGTGTCTAGTCCCCTGGGGTCAAAATTAGTCAGAGAAAGGGAGACGAGGTAGGAACTTTGTCCAAAAAATTCTCCTGCGCCACGAGAATTCGTTTTGCATGCAAATTCAACCTCAAAAGTTGAGTTGGAAGAAGTAGGGGCCATACTGAGAGGAAATTGAGCACAGCACACCCGTGTCAATAACATTGGTTCTTACTGTCTTGCGGCTCGTTTGAGTGGGTATATTTGCTACCTTGGCTCTCGGCCACGCGGCTTTGGACTTCAAACGCAATCCACATGGCAATGTGGAAAATGGTGAAGGCCAGCATGACAAAGAAACTGTAGCTGGCCAGGCCGGTCAGAAGGGAAGTCTGGTAGCCAATCCCCAAGAAGATGGTCACCACTAAGATGAGGCAGGGAGAAACAGAAAAAGAATTAAAGTAGGCTGGTTACAAGTTATTTGGCAATGGTTTGAAATTACTCAGAAAATGTGGTTTTCCATAAAGCTGCGTGTGATTTGAAGCCACCGCCAAGTGATTCAGACAAGATTAAGATCATCAGAGAAAGTAAAAGCTGTCTCTTTCACACAGAGATTTCTTTTAAAGGGTTCACATGAAAAATAGGTACCCTTAATAGCCCTAGAATGCTGTTGCCTTCAGAAAGTAAGCCAAAAAACATCAAAGTGTAAACAGTTTCTTTAAAAGCACATCATTAAAATCAACAAATTTAAAAATAGAAAAATTATCTGACACAGGAAAACTGGGATTTTGTGATTTGAAAAGGTCCATGTATTATTCCCCCTGGGATATTTGGAAAATCTCACAAAAACCTCTCCGCTGGGAGAGTAATGTCTGCTGCAATAGATGTATATCAACATTAGCATAATACAAACACCAACCTGTGAAAGGTTTCAAGGTCAGAGGTCATCATACTCACCTGCTAGCACGTGTGCTGAGGTACCCACAGCCCAATGGGCCCAGTTGAAGATAGGGCGTCTGAAACAATCAAATGGAAGCTCATTCAGCCATCTTCATTCGCTACTTATTGTTCAATATTCTTGACAAGAATCATCCTGTCTATCCCTGCCAATGGTCAAGCTAGGCTTTATATCTTTGTTACACCTGCTCAGTGGACCTATAAATCATTCTTAGGAACCATTTTAGCTTCCTCAGAAGCACATGAATACAGCTCACAAGTACTACCGGTATTCTGGCAATTAATTACTCATCCAAATACGGTACACTCGTTTGCCACTCCTGGGTGGGGGAAAGTAAAAAGTGGCACTCAACTCACAATCAATATCATTTTAATACATGTACTTGAAGAACCACGAGTTTGAGGCAAATAAATGTACCACCTGTCATGAGGTTAGGGTACTCTCCGTCTCAAACCCTTCACGGCAGGATTATTTTGGCCGTGACTGTATGCCCTGAATGGAGGGCTTTGTCCAGCAGCAGGCCCCATTGAACCAGCAGCTGCATGGTGAATAGACTGTATGTGAGGTATGCACTAATCCTCACACAACGGTGCGGTAGTAGCAGTCCTCCGTAGCGAAGGGGTTAATCTTGATTTTTTGCGGACAATTAATGTTTACCTTTCTGTAATCTTGCAATAAAAATATGTTGCAAAAGTACACTCCAGCTAAGATTGAGTGTACCGCCCCTCACCCACAGGTCACTCTCAGGAGTATATTTTGAGTTTTAAAGGGTTACAGAAATAGAAAAGATTTAGTTCACATGAAATATTTTAAAATAACAATAAATACGTAACCATTTCAAAGACATCATAAACTTAATGTTTACCCCATTAATTGTGACCGCAAAATGAATAAAAAGATCCTGCGTTTCCCCGCCCACAAAAAAATCCCCTTTTGGCCGTCTGCTTTCCCAGGCTGATTGGATGACGTCATCGCCTGAATGCTAACATGTACAGTGTACATGTACACAGCGCACAGTACTTGCAGTATCGCACGCTTCAATAGACCACGTTGCGTTGGATGTAGCTTGGCTCACAGGCAAACACTGTCTCAGTTTAAGGTAGAAATTAAAAGACACAGTACTACCGTGTACATGTACACTGTGCATGTCAGCGTTCTGCTGGTGACATCATCAAATCAACCTGGGAGCATGAACGGCCATAAAGGATTTTTTGTGGGCGGGGAAACGCAGGATCTTTTTATTCATTTTGGGGTCACAATTAATGGGGTAAACATTAAATTTAAGATGTTTTTGAAGTGGTTACATACATGTATTTATTGTGATTTTAAAATACTTCACATGAACTAGATGTTTTTATTTCTATAACCCTTTAACATAACTTACATGATCGAATGCTGCCAAGGTTTCATCCTGGCATGCACTGATTTATGAACAAAATCCAAGTCGCAAAATAAAAAAACAAACCAAATCTTACTTGGGGGTTCCTGGGTGTGGTCTGAAGACGGCCATGATGGGGTTAATGATACCCAGACAGGTGACGATGATTCCACAGATTGCATGAGCAACAGCTGTGCCCTAGGAAAAGGATTCATCCAATAAGCCTCTTACCACTTACATTTGAATCAAATTTGAATAAAATTTGGTACACTGTGCTATCGGATTTCACATAAACATAACAATTTGCATTCCCCAGACTAACTAAAGACACTCTTGCTATACCTCGTGAATTGGGGTAAGTTTTTCATAGCGACCACCATCTCCAGAAAGGACTGGTTCTTTTATGTCCTTCTTATCCATTGAAATCAGTGTGTTTGTACAAGACGTCTCTTACGTAACTAAGCAAAAGCTTGCCCTGAATCACAAGGTATAGCAACAGTGTTTTCAGTATGGAGAATTCAATTTATGTTGATGTGAATTTGGAGAACTCGGTGTACCAGATTTTATTCAAAAGTTACTGGCAAATGGCTTACTAACATTTTATCATATTGTTTGTCAGCTAGACACAAATGCTAACAGGTAGAATATAAACAAAACAGGAACAATAAATCTTTCTCTTCTCTGTTGTTCTTCATTTTCAAAATGTTCACTTGTAAAATTGTGGTTTATAAATACAATTCTTACCGTTTTGTGAAATTTTGTTCGTATTTTTCACAAGTTTCAATAATTTTCAATTGCAATACATGAACGAGCTAGCCTTTTTGCAACAAGTTGTCTGATCTAATTTGATAAGAAGCCATCAGGGCATGACAGTCCCACAAAAATTGTGCTCAATCAGCTTGTGTATGGATTTAGGCAAATCGCAACACCCTATTGGTCAAAAGATACATGTACACTGAAGTCCCGCATACAACCCTACAAGCAAATGTGGCAATACAATAATATAAAGGCTTTGAATTCTGGTCGTCAGATGGGCCAACAGATAAAGCACTGATTTCATTTAGACTTACTCCACCACCGACGAAGCCTTTGACAAAGACAAATATGAGAATGAAGGCAACAACGAAGCACACGACACAGATCACCATGCATATCCGATGGATCTGAAATCAAATGTATTAAGTCTCAGCAATTTTTTAGAAAAATGGAAAAGAACAAAGGTTTTGCTTAAAAGCAGCATTGCGGACCAGACTTTTTAATAAATCCCCCGCAGGATCATCACAAGACCAAGAAAAGACCTGAAGTTTGAATTCAATTTAAAAGCTCTTCATTTTAAATGCCAACAAAACATTCCTTTGTCATTGTTAACCCTGTTACTTGTGACTGACCATTTGTATGGTATTGTGATGGTTTTAAATATAATGCCGCTCATAATGATGCAGATTCAATGGAGAACAAAAGATATTGCCAAAATGACATATTAAGTAGCTGCAGTATCCTTTCGCAGGTTTTACTAGAACCCTACACTGACTCTCTCTGAAACAAGATTTATACCCATGACACTGTGACCCCTACAAAAACCCTTACCCCATAAGTCAATAACAGGAATTAGACAATTACACAATAAGCAACGTCTTGGGCTACTCCAGAAGAATTCAGGAATTTGTTTGGAACATGAAACAGTGTATTTTGTATTTTATTGACAAAATATGGAGGAAAAGGCTGGTTCAAAATTTGCAAAGAATTACTGGGTCTAAAAAGGAAAGTGAACAGGACCAGGGCACCTACTGATACTTGTCATAAGCCTGGAGAAAACCTCTGATCTACTAAGCTTTGTGTCCTAGGTTCTTCAACAGGTGTCTTGGGTTCTTTAACAGAACAGACACTGATCTAGTGCATAGGATCTCTGTATAAACTACTAGTGAAAGAAGCCAGCTTACCGTGAACCAGACTTTCTGTCCTAAGAGTTTGGACTCTGGCCACATGGGCTTGAAGAATCGGGCCAGAGTGATGCCGATGCTTGCAAAACCAATCCAGGCAATCATCATCAGAGAGGCTAGACAAATAGA